GACTGAGTTTCTGCCTCACCCCACAGCATGAATATTGAACTCTCTTTTCGTTTTACTGACCATGAGTGTCTAAGGGATCCGGAATTCTAGGAGTATTGGGAGCGCGTGTGTATGTCTGCACGGCCGAGGGGAGAACTTCCTGAATTTCCATACCCAGTGGGAAACAAACGTATCTGTGAGTGGGACAGTGACCGAGCTCGAGAACGCATTCCCCACCGCCCGGAATTCCCCAACTCGTACACTTGTCACCTTGTCGCAGAACCAGGAGTAATTATTATGGAAACCGACTTCCCTCCCTACCACAGCATACTGGCCTTCCATTCGCTGACCATCATCCCCTGGCGCGCAATCGCTCCGTATTGGCCCCAACCCCCGTGCTTGGAGTGCTAGCAAGCCCACGAGTACCGAGCCTCTGGTTTCATCCGGCGAACTCGCTCGGAGGAAGAGCGGCGGGCGCACAGCCTTCGGCTAAGGGCAGCCGCGTCAGATTCTGAGACCAGTGACGCACGACGCCAACAAGTGGTCCGACAGCACGATAGGCATAGCGTCCCGACCGTGCATCAAATACGAGTCCGACCCAGACGACGGAACCAACAAAGGTGGTAACCCACACTCAGAAGCATAGAAACAGACTTTGACCCGCGCTTATCCTCCTGCATTCCTATCTCTGAAACTTGTCACAGGAGATTTCAGTTCCGACCTGAGACTCCACCCCCACTTTCCCAAAAATCCTTGGCACACCCCATTTCACACTTCCAGTCCCACACACACACTGATCAGGAAGTCGCACCGGGCGTGAGGTTTGGGCATCACATACTTTGTTTTTGCGTTGATCGTGTGTGAGATACTTAGATTTGGATGTTTTTTTTTTTCTTCTAACTTTAGCTTACCCTTCCATGTTGGCGTCGCATAGGTAGGGTGAGTGTTGATTGGCTAAGTGAGGTTAGTAGTTTAAGGGATATGACACCTCCTGCTTGCGAGGGGCCTAGTTAGTAGGACGAAAATAGGGCGCAAAAGGGATGGGGTTGGTGGCTCCACTGTGATAGGGGAGGTTTTAGGTGGTCTGGGTTTGTTGAGCTTGACCAGAGTGCACAAGGGAGCCGAATGTCTTGAAACCCTCGTTGTGGTGGTGGTTTTCAGCGGATCGTCCGGCGGCGGGTTTCACAATCATATCCACGAGTACCTCCTGAAAGTGCTCCGCGTTAACGGGCATGGATTTTGGGATGAACGGGCCGAGGGCTGGTGGGCCCAATTCAGCCAAGTGGAAACGGCACAATTTCCACTTTTGGTTGGCCGATGCCAGAACAATGCTGCCCGAAGCTGGGGTTTGGTTCCCCGCTGCCCTGTAACCCAGCGGTTGGGGGCGTGAGACCTGGTAGAGCTTGGTATCTAGGATACGAGGGTTGAGGCAGCTGGAGGCTGGTCGGTTGAATAGCACTGGTGTTAACGTGTTTTTTTTATTATATAGGCTTCCAAATTATCCTAATTGGTTCTTAATTTTCACAAACAAATTTGTGGTTCTGGGTTGCTTCTGGCGGTCTTGAGAATGCTTCAGGATTTTCGGTATTTCTTGCAACTCACTTCAGGCTTCTTTGATGCTGTCATATTCATGGATCTGCGGTTTTTCGATGCCAGAACAAGGCTGGCCGGTGCTGGGGGGTTGACCTGTAAACTGTTAGTAGCAGGAGCGTGCCGCCTGGTAGAGAGATCAGGGAATGCCTTGGGGCGGGCATTCCAAGTGAACTGGGGTGAGTCCTGTTGCCCTGTAGCCTTGTGGGGTGGGGTCATGAGGCCTGGGAGAGCTCGGCAGCGAATAACTCAGTCTTAGAGAATTTAAGAGGGTTTGAGGGATTCCAGGGTTTTTGAGCATTTGAAGGACTTCTGTAGCTTTCCTTTTTGACTTAGAAGTTGCTGCTCGAGTAGCCTAGCAATAGGTCAGCAGTTATCCATGTTTTTCCTAAATTTTCCTGAACTCCAGTTCTCAGATTGTCCGTAGCTGAAGCCAGGTAATGGCCCTGGTATGTCAAAGAAATTGAAGAATTCTATATGGGACGTTGGGCCCTGTTCCCAGCACCTGCTGCTCCCCGCAAATAGACTGCAGCATTTGTTCCAAAAAAAAAAAAAAAAAAAAAAAAAAAAAAAAAAAAGATGTGTTGGCCTCTATTTCATTTTGAGTAGGTTACTTGCTTAATGTCCAGGTATAGGATTCTGAATGGGTCTATTAGGTCTTTTTCTGTCACTAGTTCATGGATCGGCAGGGCCTCCCAACATAAGTCAAATTGTTTATCTGGATTGGCAAAGACAAGTCTGCGAAGCCCCTTTTCTTCGGGCAAGGCTGCAATGGTTCGTGAAGCGTTGGGCTGCTTCAAGTTGCCCATCTCTGGTGTGCATAGATGGGTGTACAGGGAATATCTCCTTTGGCACATTTCTTTTTTCTTTTTCTCTTTTTTTTTTTCTTTTGCTTTTTTAAAAAGAAAAGTCCAGGATGTTGTAGAGGCTAATTACCAGGCACACAGGGATCACCGGGAGCGATGAGCCTTCGCAGTCCTAAGATACGAGGTCACCTCCCACCCTACCACTCATGAATACTCCCAGCGTACCTCCTACCCCAACTATCTTACCTCAGTGTAACCCACTCTGCCAACCGCTAGGTGGGTGACTTTGGACCAGACAGTAGTGATAGGCACCAAGGCTAGCTATTACCCCAGCCCCTGTGGAAGCGAAATCGGACAGGCCTCACTGTACGGGAACTTCAGACGCCAGGCACCACTATATTCTACCAACCTCGTATCCTTATTGTAGAGATCATGGACCACTGGGTTTTTATTTTTCGGGGACAGCTAACTAGCAGTCAGTACCCCAGCCAGGCAGCCTACCATCCTTCCCCAGCTTACCAAGGCCAGGCGGAAATCAGACTGACAGTCCTACCGTCCTTCCCCTAGCTTGCCCCTACCTTGGCTAGGTGGAACTCAGACCTGCTGGGGTAACTACCATATTCTATACCCTAGAGTCTAAGTCTATTCTACCCCTCCCCCAGTCAAACTGTAGATGAATGTAAGCCCTTTTGCCATATGTATGTGCTCAGGAAACCACAGACGAAGGCTATATATGATGTATGTGTATATATCCAGAAGCCAGTTGTATACCCGAAGGCAGTATGAATCATATATGAGGCCGAAGGCCATATGTCAGCACTATATGTGTGTTGAGAATACCATGTATAACGGGCCAGACTGGACAGAACCCCCGCAAAGTCTGTTACCAAGCTCGTACCCCTGACCTGTGAGATGTAACTGGAAGACTCAACCATATGAGCAACAATCGGAAATAGCACGTGTGTGTGGTATATCAGACCGGGGAGCAGAATGGAACGACCAAGACCAACACCCCAAGCAAGCCCTGCGGAACCCAGAACCAGCATACAACACCCAGGACTTGATCCCCTGACCAATACAGGCAGGGTCTGTAATCATAACCATGTAGTGCTCAGAGGATACTGTATGTCCAGCCGTACGTCATTCAACTGCCCTGCGGGTGTCCATGCGCAAGGCTGCAGAATGGAACGACCAAGACCAACACCCCAAGCAAGCCCTGCGGAACCCGCGTACAACACCCGGACTGGATCCCCTGACCAATACAGGCAGGGTCTGTAATCATAACCATGTAGTGATCAGAGGGTAGTGTATGTCCAGCCGTGCGTCATTCTAACGCTATCACCCTGCCGATGTCCATGCGCAAGGCTGCAGATTTGAACCCACAACCTCATACCACAATCATGGCACAATGCGCATTTCGAACAGGTGCTCTTAACCACTGAACTACATCAAATCCGAAGCGGAACAATGAGCCCGAACCAGACCAACACGCTGGTATTGAATTTGCCAAGCCCTTCTTAGAATTCAATAGATTTTGTTTCCCACTTCACAACAGATGACTCAGCTGCTTTTTTTACCAGTACTTATTCTCAATAGACAACTTTCTTGGCCTTTCTCCTTTTTCATTGCTTTTTCCACTGAGCTGTTTTTTAAACCAAGTACAGGCAAGTATATTTGGACTCGTTAGTTTTGTTGAAACCCTTCCTTTTCCTCATCCCCAATTGATATGATAGGCATTACAAGTTCTTTTTTCTCTTGTAGGTTTCTTGGGTCTGTTGTTGATGCTCATTGTTCACAGGGCTGAGGCTACACCTGGGGCAAGGTCCCACTTGCGCAAATTATGAGAATTCGGCCGTTGATCTTTGTTATGTACGGTCAGTATCTCATAATTCGTGCAAGTGGTACCTAGCCCCTGGGGTGGACGGTTGGAGGCCGTGCCACCTCTGAGTCTGTTACATGTTTGTGTGTATTTGCCTCGGATACTGGGCCCCGCAATACTAAAATAGGACGGTAAAAAAAATAAACACAAAAAAATAAAAATAAAAATAAAATTGCAACTGTCCCGTGCAACAGTACAGGCGACCAACATGGCATCGCGCAGAGAGTCAGGATTTTCAAAGTGCGACATAGCAATCAACTGAATTTCGAAATGCCTCTTTCCATGGAAGGGCCGGATCCCAAAGTCGGAGATTTTGAGATTTCAGGGCCACGCTTGCGCAGGCCCTAAGAATCAACTTTGCACAGGATTGAAGTCATGACGTTTTATTGAAGGTTGCGTGGTTGGACGAAGCAACGGCAGGCCAGGAACAAGGATTCCATATGATCTTCAATCCTCTGTTACATGTTTATGTGTATTTGCCTTGGGCACTGGGCCCCGCAATAATAAAAAGGGACTGGGTTACAAAAAAGAAAATAGCAACTGTCCCTGTGCGACAATAAAGGCGACCAACAGGGCATCGCGCAGAGAGTCAGGATTTTCAAAGCGCCACGTAGCAATCAACTGAATTTCGAAGTGCCTCTTTCCATGGAAGGGCCGGATCCCAAAGTCGGAGACTTTGAGATTTGCGGGCCACACTTGCGCAGGCCATAAGCACCAGTTTCACACGGGATTGAAGTCATGACGTTCTACTGAAGGTTGCGTGGATGGACGAAGCAACGGCAGGACAGGTACAAGGATTCCATACGATCTTCAATCCCCTCGGCCACCACGCCAAGGGACAGCAGATGTGCCCTGCAAGTGCTGAGTTCTTTCTTTCGCTTTTATATTCGAAACCCTCTATAAAACATTTTCAGTTCCTACCCGCCACTACTAAGCCAGGGGACCCCTGGAAAGCATATATCAACCTCTCACAACGACGAGCATGCATGGTGCCCCCGACCCCAATAAGCAGACGTCAGCGAGTACGGTGGGCCCGCCGGTGAGGGGGTCCGTCTATGCAAAGAGCGTGCATTTTGCACGTAGCAGTGCCTCCCATCTAATTTCCGCACCCCCACTAGCAAAGAGGACTGGATTGAACGCCCCCGAATCTGGATGTGCTTGTGCAGATGTGCAAGAACTAAAGATTCCTCTGCTTTCTTGCACTTGTTGCCCAAACGTCCACATTCCAAGCCTTACATCCAATCGCATTTGCTAACCGCAGCGAACGTTCACCTTCTGCCCAGAACAAAAGAAAAGAAATAAATAAATAACTTGGCTTGAGCGTTTCTTTACGCCGACAACAATGAATAAAGATCCAACTACGCGGGAGTGATGCTTGGGCTAAGTCTTAGACGTTCAATCGAAACTCGGGATCACTTTCTTTCCATTGTCCAGAACTTCACAGCATTGCCACATCGAACCGAAACAAGACAGCACATCGACGACAAAGGCCGACAAGAACGAAAAAAGATCCAACTACGCTGGAGTGATGCTTAGGGCTAAGCCTTAGACGTTCAATCGTTCACAACTTCACACCATTCCCACATCAAACCGAAACAAGACAGCCCATCGACGACAAAGACAAATGGGGAAAAAGACGAAAGCATACAATGGGCAATGCCCGACAACTCGTCAGAGAAAAAGACAATCAAATCATCCGAGGGGAAGACACGTGAACAAGCTGAGACAGCAGATAAGCGCACGTTGATCAGGGCGAACAGTGAAGTCGGTCCACGCAACTGAATTCATATGAAGAAATGCATTAGAGAAGACGACTTCTTCATTACAAGTACAACTCATATTCACGACTTATCCCATTTTCTGCCTCCGCGGTCGAGATAGTCCATCTCATTTCAACTTAAAACTCACAGCCATCGCCAAAGAAAAGCAACGTACTCGAGGCACAGGACCAGGAGGCCTGTATCTCCCTACCCTCGTCTACTTCACCGCACTCGGCTTCGAGTCATCCCGACCGGACGTTCTACACGCCAGCGCGTTCTTACTCAAGACTACTAGTAGTCATCTGGGGTACTCTACGATACCGTGGTCGTCCTCGTGGTTAATTACTTACTACATTACGTGGAATCTATCTCCATTTGCGGGACATTAACTACGCCGTTACGGCCTACACAGATATTACTAGCAAGCACATCTGCATCTGGGCTTTCCCCTATCGAGCTCAAACAACCAAGTACGGGAAAACAACTATCCTCGCCACGTCCGGCCGCCGTGTTTGCCGACCTGTCCACTTCTTGCTCAGCTACCAGCGCGCCTCCGATACCGGTCGCTCCACTCAGAGTGATTGCTTAGCTGTCTGATCATGTCTAACGACCGCCGGAGCTTGTTAATGCCTGCTTCGTTTAGCTGAGGTCACGCTCACTCTACGACTTTCCCCCCTGCATCTGGCTACGGTTTGCAGTCAGATACTCGGTAGGAAAGCCCCAGTATAGCCATGCCCTTAGCACTTCTCCCATGTCAGACTGAAGATCTGCTTCAGCGATAAATCCTTCGAATCGACAGTGATGAGCCCGGCGGCCTTCGAAGACGATTTTGACGGCGTGACTCTGATCTCCGACTTGAGGTTCAGGTTCCTGGGCGCTTTCAAGTCACACGGGGTATAGGCCAAGGTGACGAACTTGTCGGTGTACTCGAAGTTGTCGTTGATGGGAGACGGCAGCTTGCGGAGAGTCTTGACCGTCCCGGGGACGCCCGAGAAGTAGTACGACGCCGCCAGAGTGCCGACTACACCCTTCTCCAGCTGGGCGTAGCCACGGTAAGTGACGGTCGCCACGGCGTAAGAAAACCCAGTAGGGTATACGAGGTCCACGGACAGCGTGCACGACTTCCGCCGCTCCGCTACCGCTCCCGGGGTGGAGGCCGTGTACTTGCTGAAAATGGCAGTGATCGCCAGCAAGTCCGACGACAGGATGACCTCGGTACTTCCAGGTGGACAGCCGTTGCCGTTAGAGCTGACGCCGACGATGCGCACCGTGCCGGGCGGCGGAGCCTCAGCGCCTCCGGCAGCGGCCATCTGGAAAATGCCGAGCAACAGAAGCGCCACCATCGCCGCCATAGCCGAAACGGATTCGAAAACTCGAGGCTTGATCTTGATCACCTTGACCCTGCGTCCTCTAATTCTTCCTCTTCGTCGCCTTGCGCGTCGCTCCGCTCTCGTCTCCTCTTACCCGGAAGCAACAGATGAGCACTGCCGGCGATGCGAGCAGCTATCACGCGCCGTGTCGCTCAGTCTCCCAAGCCCACTACGGTAGGATCTGGCAGCTCTGGACGGCGCTTACATACAGCCCGACCCCGGCGTGTTTCGCAGACACACAACTGCGAACGATGAACCGATCGTAACGCTGTGTTACGTGGAGGGCAACTCGATGCGGCTTTATACACAGCTGACGATGGAGTTTGTACGGTGTCGCTTGCGCCCACAACACATCGGTCGGTGTGTGATCAGGACAGAATACTACCGGTAATGCACTCTGTTCCAATGGAGTGCCTGCGAGGGTCCGTTGCGTTCAGCGGAAGAAGGGGTTAGCTTGCATGGCTACGCCGAGCCCTCGATACGTCAGTCTGGAGAATGAAGCGTCTCGGATTTTTTTTCCCCCCTTTTTTTTTCTCCTCTCGTTAGACGCACCCGTGCCGCCCTGAGAATTTCTCCGCATCCAGCGGCCTACAGGAGGGCTTGCGTTCAATCCCCGTTGGCCTCATGTGCCTTCCTGGGGCAAGGTCCCACTTGCGCAAATTACGAGATCTCGGCCGTTGATCTTTGCTATCTGCGGTCAGTATCTCTTAATTCGTGCAAGTGGGACCTAGCCCCTGGGCAAGCTTGGCGCCCGCCACACTGAGATATGCCATTGGTCCCCCCGAGTAGCATTGAGCAGAGACTGCTGAAGCTCATAGGGGGAGGGGACCGGGGGCTAGATCACACTTGCACGAATTAAGCGAGATTGACCGTAGATAACAAAGACCTACGGCCAGATTCTCGTAATCCGTGCAAGTGGGACCTTGCCCCGGAGGGCAGGCTGACTGTCCCATCGGTGAAGCTCGGTCCTTATGCCACCGGCTGACCCCTGGCCCGTGTCGCCCAGCTGCTGTAGCGATACCTGGTCATGCGTCCAGCTCGTGCATCTTCCCTCGTTGGAGGCTTGAGCACGGATGTGGCGGCTAACGGGTTCCCCGAAATACTACGACGACAATAAAAAAGGCCTTACTCCAAAAAAAAAAAAGGCTTCGAGCACGGATGTGGCTGCTAAGGGGTTGCTGAGCCTGTTTTTGCCGCGTGTTCCCTCCGAGCCTTTTTTTGCCGCACGTTCCCTCGGATCCAGTTTTTGGCCCATGTTTCCTCCGAGCCTGTTTTTTTTTCCGAACCTGATTTTCACTGCGCACCGAGTTTTGCCGACCCGGGGGCCAAGTCCCACTAGCAAGGTTGAGTTTCCGCAACGACCAAATCTGGACGTGTTTGTTGAGATGTGCCGAAATCGCGTCGAGTTTCCTCAACCGCACATAGCTACGAATACTTCCAGGTTCAGGCGTTGAGGAAACTCAACGCTGCTACTGTAGTGGGACTTGGCCCCGGGTCAGTTTCATAGGAGAAGGAGCAAAGAAAAAAAAGAAAGACGAAAAACAAAACAAAAAATGAAACTTCCCGAATGCCTCGACGGCCACCAGATCCATTCTATGAGGTCTTCGTGTGACCGTGCCCTTTTTTTTTTTTTTTTTTTTGGTGACCGTGCCCTCAGTGAGGGCGTTCACGGACGAACAACCATAAGAACAAAAGAAAAAGAAAAAACAAAAAGGCTCCCTTACGCTGTGTGATCGAGGTCGGGGGCCAAGTCCCACTAGCAGCGTTGAGCTACCTCAACGCCTGAATGTGGACGTTTTTGCGGAGATGCGCCGAATTGGTGTTGAGTTTCCTGAACTGCACGTATCCACAAACACGTCCAGATTCAGGCGTTGAGGTAGCTCAACGCTTCTGCTAGTGGGACTTGGCCCCGGATGCTACAGCGTCGAGACAGTTACGTGCCACCCGTAAAACACGCCCTGGCCCTGCCTGGCTGGCAGGGCACTACAACGACACTGGAACAAAAGCAAAACAAAAAAAAACAAAAAAAAACAGAAAAAACTCTTTCCACACGTGGTGGCAAGATACATTCCTCGAAGCACTTCTGCAACTTCCACCTTCGTGAGGGCCTTCCCCCGACGTCCCTGCTTTCTTTTTTTTTTTTTTTTTTTTTTGGTTTTTTTTTTTTTACGTCCCTGCATTTGAAGTTTTTTTCTTTTTTTTTTCTTTTCTTTTCTTCGGCCTCCAACACTGTCCTGGGTCCCGTGTTTTAAGGAGTGTCCTTGGGGACATCCGTTAAAATTGGAACGATACAGAGAAGATTAGCATGGCCCCTGCGCAAGGATGACACGCGTAAATCGAGAAATGGCTATCAGGGCCGAGGTCCCACTAGCAAAGAGGATCGGATCGAATGCCAGAATCTGGATGTGTTTTATGCAGAGATGCAGAAAAGCAGTTCAATCTCGATTTGAAATTCCTGCACCTCTCCACAAACACGTCCAGATGCGTGGATTCTATCAGATCCTCTTTGCTAGTGGGACCACGCCCCAGATGGACTTTGCGTTTGCCTGTGAAAGGTAGTGGTGGTTGAAATTAGAAAATATATACGATATATATATATATATATATATATATATATATATATATATATATATATATGGCTTCGCGCTGCCATGCGTTGGCCTTCCTCAGACCGTAGACCCAGTTGAAACGTAGCCCAAGTTTTAGTCCAGATTCGGTCAAACAATCAGATAGATCATCAGAGCAAGATCCAACGGCTTTCCGTCGCTTTGAAAGCTCGGCTGCCACAGGCCTGCGACTACTTTCTGACATCTCTGAAAGAGCCGTTACATAGCTATGAACGCTGGGCTCCCACAAGCCTGAGGTGGCTTTTCTGACAATCTTGAACCCCAGCTATTTTTCTCCAACGTGGCCCGCGGCAGTTAACGCTCCCTGGGGGCTCGGACCGGCTCGGACCGGCTCGGACCGACTAGGACAGATTTACGCCTGTGCTCTTTGGCTTTCGACCACTTGCAAGACCGACAAGGACAGATTTACGCCTGTGCTCTTTGGCTTTCGACCACGTGCAGCCGTCCGTGACGAGCGCCAATCGTTAATCCTTTTCTGTATCGTGTGCTAGCGTCGATTGCTTTGTTTTGTTGGAGATAGCTGCCCTTTGGCGAGTAGACGACTTTTAAAATTATTTGTTGGCCATTTAGTTTGCCATTTTGCATTGGCGGGAAGCTTCAATTCTATGGGTTT